TCACATACTGAAAAGGTTGTGAAATAATGATCATCGATTTGAGTAGCTTCTCTGCGCTCTTCCAACTTTCCACTTACTGTGTCATACGAATAATGTCAGTACAAATCTTTTTTTACAATGTTTATTTGTTCCTTTCGGTTGGCCTCCATAGCCCGTGTTATTCATACATACCTTGACGAATAAGATTTACATCTAATTGTTCCTTACACTGTCATCCTCTGAATTGCCCTGTCAAATGCCGCGATTGTAGAGTTATACAACGCGTTATTATCCTTGTAAGAACCAGTAAAAAATGTTCCATTCGTAAGGAATATTATCCTCCAAAACTCCTTTGCCAGTGTCCTCAATCCATAAAACTTCGGCGAAAACTTGCTCAATACACCTTCTTCGAAAATTGGTTTTGTCATTTGAGCTTTCTTAAATTCACAGATCTCTTTGGCGGTCCCTGTGAACCATTTCGAAAGGTAATCTTGGTTCTGTTCTTTGCCCTTATCCCATCCGCGAATCATGCTTAACCATAAGAGGACATAAAAGAACGACTCCAAGTCATGGCGATACGAATGATTGACTTTGGAGCCTGTTTTTTCACAACTACCACTGAGAAGTTCTAGTGCCATAAACTCCATAGTCCCGGTCATGGTTTGAGTCTTTCTCTGATCTTTGTCATCTGATAGCAATACAGCCAGGTCTAGATCGATCAAGAATCCCCTCCAGTCCTTTCCAAAATCGGTGCCAGTCAAAATAATGTTATTTTCCGAGATATCTCGGTGCAATATCGTGGCATCTTTGAGTAGTGACCTGTGCGCCTTGATCGCATCACGCAATCCGATGACCAGTTCAATTGGCGATTCAACATTGTGGATCGGTCGTCCAAATGGCGTTGTCGTAACTGCCGAGGACTGTCTATCTCGGATCTCTACAACCTTGACATTGACTTTGAATTCGGGCCCGATAATATCATGTGTAACATTCAGATGGTCACTTCCGAAAATGAAGGGCGAGATTCCAATAACTTTTTCCATTTCAGGAAGGTTGCTGGTGCCGGAATTGTTGATGGTTGTTCCATTGTCCGCTTTGTCGGCATTTTCTGCATTGCTTGAAAGTTAAAGCCTCTTGATTCGACCGTTGACTTCGTCGCTCTCCACGTTCTTCCGTTTCTCCCCAGTAGACTGCCTGTCTCCTCCGATAAAGATTTTGGCAATGTTGGTGCTTTCATCTCCTAGAACACGAGACACAGCTTCTTCAGTGATGACATTTAACGATGCAGATGCCCTATTTCCCGTGATACTTTCTGTGATGACTGATACTTTTATGCTGTTAGTAAATATTTTTCAAGACATCGATGACCAATTCGCTTACATCCAGCTGATGATCTTGCCCTTTTACTCGACCGTCCATATTCACTTCCGGCTTCGTTCACCTCGCCCCTTCGCTTCCGCTTCGTGGTCATGCTGGTGCTTTTCTTTCGATCTGGCATAAAACCTTCTGTGAATTCGAGTGGAGTGGCCATGGCTTTGTCATTTGGACGCGTTTCTTTCACCATTGCCTGTGTGAATATCAGTCCTTCTCGAAGTTGGCTAATTTTTACAGAATCGCGCGATCCCACAAGTTTCACCATGCCATCCACGTCTTTCGCAAGTCCGAGCAGCTTTGCCTCCGAGTCATCCCCGCACATTCTCCAAGAGAACTTGACTATACAGCCACCATCTAGATCCCGGTAACAGCTGGTTCCCCTAGTCACAAGGGTCGTCGGCTGTGCGACTGGCTCTGGAAAAAGTCTGAACTCGCGCGTCTTCTCCTGCCCGGGAATATCTAGTGTTACCGTAATTTGATGGGCTTCGTACTTAATGTTTGGGTCAAGTCCAAGTTCTGCATCGCTCATTGACATATAAGCTGCCATCACATACACGAGCGTCTGCGGTGATTGGCCAATGTCGATCAATGAGCTACAGTACGGCCCTGACCGATCGTATACCCAGAGTAGAAGAGACTTGCCAAAGAGGATAAACCCGTGCACAAACTGTCGAAGTGGCTGTGCGAAAAATAACTCCCGCATTAGCGCAGAGAGCTGCAGAAACTTTTTCATAAACTCATCTGTTGTAGACTTTGTTAACTCTCCAATCACGAGAATATCGCGCCAGTCATGAGATGAAGTCGAAAGAACTCGCCGCGTGATGTAGTAATCAACTTGTCTCTCTGATTGTGCGCCATCAATCTTGCCTGCTTGTTTCATACGATGTTGAGTGCCTTTCAAAAGAGGTACAGACTGAGCCGGCAGAGAGTTAGATGATTCTGTCGAGGTTTCGGAAGATTCTTTAGACGAATGAAAAATTTTGTTTTCCACATTCTTCATCCATTCCCAAACCAGAATTTCGTCTAGATCTGTCGGAAATTTCAGATCGTCTTCCCCGGAGCGCTTCACATATTCCTTGGCCAGTTCGATACAGTTGTTTGTCCATGATTTTTGAGGGAAGTATTTACTGCAAAAACCATAAACGTTTATGAAAACAGATCCGTACAGCTCTCTACGAAGCATCATTTTCAGATGAAGCATGGTTTGTTCCGTCCATTTGCGTGTTATCCCGGTCCTCCTAAATATGGAGATGGCTCCTGGGTTGTCTAGTTTTTGTTCCTGGGCTTCAATTATCTTCTCAAGCGTGTCAATAAGCTCCAAAAGTGATAGCCATATCTCTTTGTCAGTAGCGTAATTTAAAATTAGCGTAGCAAGAGGTACAAAGGGTGCCAATTCAAATGGTGTTGACTTCATCCATTTACTTATTCTAGTCAGACGTGACTCAACATTATTGATATCTGAATCAATCAAATCTCCTTCGATGAGATAAACCTTCAGAGAATTTATCAGGGTAGTCACTGGATAATGTCGTTTATTCAAGTCCTTGGGCTTTTCGAAGATGCCACCGCATGGTATAGAAAATTTCGCATAATATACGTCACGGAAAGTATCCAATAAAGATTCCAGTGGGTTCATGGCGAGGTATTCTTTTATCGAAGTGGTGAGAGACATTGTGTTCTTAGGGCGATTGATCGGTTTCAAGAATATGATGAAATTCAGTTATTTAGCTAGAGAGTCGAATGATAATGGCTGTGAATTACAGAAGAATGGACGACTTTTTAGATTGGGTATCTCCCTCATGGCCGTTTTAAGTGTCAATCATATCCCTGGTGAACCAGTAATGGGGATCCCACCATCAAATTAAAGAAACCCCAATTAGAATGGAAAAGATAAGTTGTATTTAAATAGTGTGTCATACATAGTTGTAAACTTAAATAGGACATAAATAGATTAATTGATGGAATGTATGTCAATTACTAGGCGCTTAGTGCAGTGCATCTCTCTGTTGCTGAGTCATTGTCTTGATGACTCAGCCAACACCGCGAATTGGACGTTCGCAGTGTTCGTAGATAGAAAGACTAACAACAAGAATCCATACCTCAACTTTCGTACCTTTCGTTTTGCATTAAACTAACCTAACTTATACGTAAAATAAGGCCAATCGACATTATTATTATTGTTATTTTTATTGTCAATCATTCTAGCAAATGACCAATGAACTAAGCCGGTTTAAGCTTCTTCTAGGTTCAAAGTCTATGAAACTTACCATGATAGCTCCATTCACGTATTAGCTCTACAAGGATAGATTTAGTTTGGATGGTTGGTATTTAGATTCATAATCAAAATCAATCTTCTAATGCGATACAAAAGTGTTGCTGACAATCATAGATTGGCCACAGGAACGACTAATATGAAGGGTATTATGTTAATGTGTCATATTAGCCACGATGCCCGACAATATTCTATAATAGATGATGTGTGTTCTTGTGTTTATTGTACTACTTGAGTCATAGACAATCTAGCACATTTTATATAATAGATGATAATTGTGACAAATTATATTCCAGGACCTGCATGTGGAGTTAGTAATTGATTGCTTTACATAAATCTTATTTGCGATGCGTATGTTCATAGTAGAGACATTCAAAGCAATAAATGAGGGGGACTGTTCTCAACACCAGTTAGTGGTGTCCCCTACGAACCTCCAGCTCACACTGTAGAGTCTGCAGAGCCAAGATGGAGTAACAAAGTCCCCACTTCGACGAGGATTCCCAATCGCTTGCGCGGTCTGTATCCTCTTTATCTCTCAACACATCCCTCCGTTACGATAATCATGAAGTCAACCATCATCAGATCAGGTGGTAGGGTCGGAGCCCTTCTGACCACCAACCCTTGATAATGGAAGAAAATCCATCCGATGAGTTTCCGGAGCGTACACAGTACCGGATACGGCGATGATAGAAAAGTTTAAGTTGACCTATAATACTACAAAGAAGGGGGATCTGGATGGATATGCGCAACTCGTGAGGGCCGGATATCTAAGCCTCTACTAGCAGGGGACACAATTTTATGATTATTTATTACGCGCACGCAGTTTCATTGCTACCATATTTTGGGGTAGAAAGCTTCAAGGATAGGGTGGCTAGATTTTAGCGATATATTCTGAGCTCAATAGCCACCCATCAAGAGCATTATATCAGAGGTCTTTTTTGATACCAAAAGTCAACAGGAGTACTGTACAAGATGTGGCCTGGGTCAGAGAGGAGCCCAAGTGACATGTATTCTATGACATAAATAGCCCAATAAACTCAGTCAACGAGTCTCTTTTATCATTTTCTCTTCCCACAAAGTTATCGACCTGGTACTGTCTTACTTATCAGTTGTGTAGTGACCACAGCTTCTCACATAGGATAGAGCTATGAAATATGCCTCAGGCTACACATAATTTAGGGCTCAATATCTTCCTCTTCAGTGCTAGTTGATGACTAATGAGTTCGATGTGAAGCTGACGTACTCAAGGATGAAACAAAACATTTCATACACGACATCGACATTTATTTGAGCTTAATGGCGAATGGGTAAGTCGAGCCACTTTGATTAATTTGGGGCCTAAGTCATCCACATCTGTTCCTGTCCGCAAATCTAACTTTCAACTAGAACGAGCATTATCGTTGGCCTCGTAGTCGCCATTCTCGCCTGTCTGGCCGGATGGGTTTTTTCACCTAAAGGCGAAACTCAAACGTACGTTACATCTACTCTATAACAATTTGATCTGGAAATCAACATGAAAATGTAGTCTTTCCTCACAGAAAGTACAGCTAACAATTTTTTAGAATTTGGCGCAGCACTCTGATTCTCTCCTTTTCAAGCTGTTATATAATGTGGGGTACATTTATTCGATCCCAAATTTTAGTTTATTTTTGCTGACCTGACCTCTTGAAGCAATCACTTTTCTTGCTCAATGGCACCCGCTTATTGTGCCTCGGCGCGGTGGATTGAGGGAATCAGCTATTCATGAATAAGATTTTTCAATCAGAGGATCAAAATTGTGTACACTGTAGGATATTAACGGAGTGATGGGCTACACGGTTGGCAAGATGTATAATTCTCTTTGCAAGTAAATCAACCGAGAGATACGAGATTATTGCTACATCAGCTAGAACTGGAGGGTTTTTTCAAATCCACATCCTTACACTTCTTCAACGCTCGAATAAATAATGATATTCTTAATAAATTCTCCAAGAAAAATAATGATGTCCATCGATGTTCCACTATTCAGCAATAACGCCATGGAAAAGTATACTTAGAGAGCTGCCACGTCTGATATTCCGATCACTACCGCACTAGACGGTTGCTTTGCAAGGCTAAGCTCCCTAAAATCATAGAGAACCAATGGTAACCTTTTGATCGCGCTTAGGAGATGGATCCTATCAATGGAATCTAAAACGATAGATCCTAGTATAACAATTAGATTACGTGTTCTCGCCCAAGCTTCTACACGGCCTTGGATAAAAAGATGGGTATAAATCTCGTAGGTTAGATAGTTTGACGGAGCCTCATTTGCGAATAACGTAATAGAAAATAGGATTAAAAGTATATCAAAGCTGGCTAGCTACATTTGTCCATAGAATTACCATCATTGTAAAGCACAAAAGACACGTTATGCTCTGATCCACGAATGGCTCCTTTTATGGTTTTGAGAGAATAACGGGAGAGAACAAAGTGCAAGCCTTCCTAACATGTTCCGAATGGGGGCGCCGAAAAAAATACAGCTCTGGTAACTAACTATGGTCTTGAAATTGGCTAAAGAGATGATACACCTTTCTAGATAATGTAGAAGGGGAAGTCTAGGCAACAACACACCTACCTAGGAAGATAAGTTCAGTGATCTCATTCTCAAACTAACATGTGGGATTGTGTAGGTCAAAGCAAGCACCTAGGCTTTGGTAGCTATACTAGGTTAAACATCTGGTGTTGATGGAATATAAAGCCCATATATCCAACACAATGACATCTATCTATGAGTGTCTGGGGTTTCTATTTATAATCGAGGTTAATGCCATCAGCTTGCCGAGAAAACTCGGCATTCAATCCAATAGCATGACGAAACAGTGACTGGGACTGTTTTCTACAGAAAATATGAATCCGGCTACCGATTATCAAGGAGTCAGTATTTTCAGGGTGTGAATGAGAGACAAGATTTTCTTCAGGCCACGACACCGAGTCTACTAATACAGCAAATGCATTTAGTGCTGAATACTGTCATCTAATATCCACTTTTTTATAATTTGGCCACATAATTAGGATAATCAGAGACGGAAGTTACGGCCAAATGATAGCAATTAGCTCTATCAGTCAATAGCAGGACCATGTTTATGTCTAACCCTTATCGTCTGAAATGCCCACTGGAATTTTGGGCGTAGTCCATCTCCAGTCGAAGATAAGTAGCTCAGATATTATCTGATGGATATGTGTTAAGTCCACCGGTGTGTAGTTTGAAATATGTCTTTACGTAGGCTTGTCATTATGAAGGTGTAAGTTGATTAATCATTTCTACTTGCTTTCCACTGAGACAAATACATAAGTGATTCTAATCGACTTTCTTCCATCGATTTGGTTAAGTGTCTTTTATCACAGATGCGGGAAATTATTTATGAGATCACTTGATAAAATGCTAGATTACATTTTCGATACTATTTGGGTATGCACTTGTCCCTACAGATCGAGGCCACAATATCTTGATATGTCTACATATTTACCCCCATATTCACCATATGCGCTAGCTATTCTGTATCTAGCGTGCAAACCCTGATTTATTTCATGGTTGTGGGCTAGTACTGTAGTTTCAGAATAGCAGTATTCTTTTAGCAGTTGCAGTACGTAATAGCTTCCGATATACTTTACTATAAGTTATACCGCCTCGGTTACATGCTTACCTAATATGGGACGTGTTCAGGGGTCAATTACATAACCGATACCAAGCCGGAACTACTCATAACCTCAACTAAGATCCTACTTAGACTCCGGATAGAAGTCGGAGGCTTGACACAATCAACCTTAAAGTTGCCGACTGAAACCTAATCCAAACATAAAAGGACTGGGCCACAACAGTGACGCCGTGGGAGATGTTCAACCCCATGAGGATTACTTCCTGCTGAGATGAAAATGAAACTCCCAGAATTGCGCCTCGAAATGCATCGCACGCGCACTGCGAGATTAGACTTGATCGAGGCTAGTATCTTGCTACAATGGCTGGCGTCGCAACTCCAGCTCTCTCAGTCATCAGTTTTTTTCTGTAGTCGGCGACGATTTGCGGCAGTCGAACAAAGAGGCGCTTTGTTTCTTGTAGGGGACTTGTCTGTTCGGCTTTATCTTTGGAGTAAGTTCTTGGGAGGTCGGGTAGCCTTGCTGCGTTTCGTGCTATTGTGAGCGACGGCGACTTGGTCGCCCGGTCGAGTTTGTCGCGCTGGGAACAGGTATTGTTGGCGTGTTCAGTCTCGAGTATGGATTGCTAGCGGGTTATTCAAAGATCTAGATATTGCCCATCGCAAACTCTGTCAAGATGGGTTCAAACCTTTCAATTAGTAGTGCCACTAAAGCTGCATCTTCCGTTTCTGCTCTGGTTTATGTGGAGCCGTTCAAATTTTGCAGACCTTCTAAAGCATAGCCCAACCTTTTTTCGTTCTCGCTCGGATTGCTGCGTTGCGGCGGCGACAGTCTAGAGGTTTGGATATGGTTGGTCTCCATGGTCAGTAGACGCCGAGGGTGACGGTTCGCTTTTTACGGACATTCCGCTGGATGTTTATTTCGTACGGAAACTACTGTGCGAACGAAGTTGACCATATTCTTGGCTGTCGGATACGGATGGAATGAAATAGATTGATGAATTTACGAGAAGAGCAATGGTGAAATGGATCAATTGTTCTACGGAGATTATTATTTCAACAAGCCAGGCACAGGCCTTGCATCTAACTTGACTGGGCACGTGCCATTGACTTGATTTTTATATCAACGTGCTAGGCTTTCGCACCCTTATACAAGCTTGAGCACGAGTGGGGCCAGGCTGGATCAGGTTAACTACCAAATAAGTACAATGAACCTCGTCCCTGTGTTCTCTGGTATAGTTTGAGTAGCCTGAGCACCTACTTCACTTGGGAAGGAGACGCCTAAGACCACATTTCGCGCAGAGAAAAGCTGAAAGTTGATGGAGGCATGTCTGGATAACTCAGGGTTTTTGAGATGTTCTCATGGGTGGATATTCACCGATGATGGTTGACTTGGGGTGAGGAAAAGGCCGCCATAACTTCGCAGTGGTACTTGTAGAAGAAATCCGAGGCATGAGTGCTCACCTTTTAAATTGAGTCACCCATTATACACTTCTCTGATACTGTGTCAAAGCTAAATAGCTGCATACCCAATTAAAATCTGTTGCAAAAAAAAAAAGTCCCACTCGTGCCTCGTGTCGCTTAACATCTCGATGAAAACTCACTAATATACCCTTTCTCGCGACCGAATCTCGGCTCCGAGTGAGTATTTTATCCTCTGGTCGTAGGACTCCACTAACAAGTGTTCAGCCTTCGTTCTCCTATACGGACAGCTGGTCTCGAAATAATTGGTATTCCCCAGGTAACCAATTCAGTAGAACTAGCTGATAAAGTGAAAAAAAAAAAAAAAAAAAAATGTCTAGGTTTGGTGCCCTAACCCTCGCCTGAGTCCCGCAATGATATCCACAAAGAGACCAACTTCTTCGTGCAAACGTTAACTTGCGCTAATGGGTGTAATACAGACCAACATCATTTTCTCATTCCTCCATCCACGCAAGCAGATATGGTGCGTTCTGTATTTAGAGCGTCGCTAGCACTATTTTAGATTGTGGTCTTGACGCCGACAACCATCCCACAGTCGAACCCCTCTCGAAAAATGGCAGTTTTATCGCTCCCATCGACGGCCTCTTAACTCTCTCCTTACAAGTTCTAGCTTCCAGTACTCTCTTGAGTCGTAGAGGCCCATAAGAGTTGCGGTGCGTGGTAAGATAAGCCTAAGCTTGGTATCTCACAACTTAATTTCCTACTTGGGGATACACGCAGCGTCGTGGTTTGATAGTAGTAGATGGCCGGTAATTCTTGAGGCAAGCTACCGTTTGTAATTAGATCAGCTCCATGATCGGTCGTTGAGGCGTGGTGGTTTACAGTATGGTTGAGATGGAGGACTCTCGTGAGAGAATAATGGGACTGATATTGAGAGAGGTCGTCGATTCTGCAAACTCTCATGTCTGCTTTCAACTTCGATTTGAATGCGTTTATTCTTGGTTATTATAGACATGTAGAGCATCCTGCGCCACCACAACGGCAGCGCTGAAAGGAGAAGAATTATTCTTTGCCGACGCATGTCTTTGGAGACTTGGGCGTGGTGATAAGTTTGGGACTAGCGCACGATTAGATCTGGCCAGGCAGAACAGTGACACCAAGGAACAGACACACCAGGCGAGTGGTCTGATGGCATGAGCTTTTGGGGCTGCGGAGGATACTAGAATTGTTGCCATGGCGATCGTGCTTCGGACAAACAAGTTCGTATCTACCAATACCAGACAGAACTAGCGTGCGATTGGTGGAGTGGGGTTCCCTTGAGACCCGTGTGATAGTAGCATTAAATTGTTGCTGAGGGCCAAGACTAACGGTCTGACAGCAGTGTCGCCGACAAACCTCATGCTCTCATCGTAGAGGTCGCTGGGCCATGGCGACAACAAGTCAAGTCAAGCAGCTCTACAGCGCACATAATAGTACACGACATCTAAGATTCGGACGAGACCTCCGGTTTCTGCGGAGGTGTAAGGGAGGGGAGACATCGACGGAACTCTAGATAGGCCGAAAGTGTCTTCCCTGGTCACGCAAGCTTGAGCGGGGGCAAATATCGACTTGGAATTTCGGCTGGGTATCGAAGATTTGGGCAGCTGGGCGCTTAAGGCGAGTGTATTTCGGGATAATCCTGGGTCCATACCGGGTCGTGGGGAGGGATGAATGGGCATTGTGTGACCTCCATCCCGACGTCGCTGCCTTCGTCTCCGCGTCGTTGGCCGAGCCGGCTCGTGGGGGGCAGGGCCAGACCGCTTCTCGCAGCGACTGGTTGGCGTCGTTGGCCGGGCCATGGCGCATCTCTCCGAAAGGGCCGAAGTAGCCGCGACTTGAGAGCCCCGATCCTTCGTCCCAACTCGAGATCCGTTGGTCGCGCTTCTCTGTGTAGGCGTGCGGCTTGCAGGCTGCACCCGCCTCCATGAGGGCGAACTTAGATGTAGAATCCAGCTGCGCGTGTGTGGTAGTCCACGTTCCGGCCGGCTAAGGATTGTTGGCGTCGAGAAATCCATCCCAGAACTGCCTGTGGCCATGCTTGCCCTTGAGGCATCCGAGTCGTCTGTGTCACAACGGCCACATCACATTTTGGGGATGGAGAGACAGAATCGGCTAAAACGACTCGGCGCCGTCTGCATCCGAGACATGCGACGCTGTCTTGAGTAATTATAGGCATTAAAATTGACTACGAGGGAAAAATTGCGGAAGCTTCATGCTTTGCGGAAACCGCCAAATCCTCACGAGTCTACATCCATCACCCGGTACGGACCTGCCATGTTTATGGTTCGTGTCCTCGGCATGAGACGCGCTAGTGCTGGTTTGAGGCCACAATCACCAATCACTTACTTACCCCATCTCCGCTCGCCCTCCTCACGGACTCTCGAAGGCCGGCCGACGCGGGGAGCGTGCCACCGGTTCCATAGTCACGGGCCTTGTCTGCATCCAAATTGTCTCCTTGTTTCGTCCGGGCCGGGCTGGCTTTACTGCGGCTCCGCTCATTTCGGTCCACAAGACTTGAGGGTAGAGGGCCCGGTTGTGCCCGCCTCCGTGGATCCTAGCCAGCCGCTAGCCCATAGTGGCGCAATAATTGCATGCGCCAGGGTATGCACGGATCAAGGAGTGCTCAGCAGCGCCTACGCTCACGGAACAGCCAGAGGCTCGAGCAATCATCTTTAGTCCCCACTACAGTCAGCTGACTTGAAAGGGCGCGTCGACCTTCCAAACCCCTAGTCTCACCTCTGCCCTCTCGTTCTGGCAGCAATGAGCTACGTCCCCGTCCGGCGTTCAAGCCGTAGACGGAGAGCGTTACCGAAACCTTGCGTCACATCCCGCTCCCCTGATCCCCCTTCAGAGCGCACAGGCAAGCACGACGTACGACGACCAAAGCCCGCGGACGGGCGTGGGAACAATGCCACGAGAGATCAAAACGTTGCCGTCAGTCAGCCCATCCCCTGCCCACCTGGGGCCACAAATTATGACAATCAGATCAGATGACCATAAAGAGGCGCAGGGGGTCGGGTCCTTGTGTCAAGCGGCAAATCTCCATCACTTCTGCTCGTTCTTTTGGCCCTTGTGCGCCAATAGTGCTCGACACAATTCTTAACCAGATCACCTTGGGTACTTGCGTGGAATGAGCGAGACTTTAATGAACTTCGGAGCGTGAGACTACGCTTTGACAAAAGAGACCGTTGCATGATTCCTATCCTACCTTTGGCGCCACAAGATGAATGCTCTATCATTAGTTATTCCGAAGCCTACAAAACTCTCCCGTCATTCGTAGACTAGGAGCCATAAAAATTATTGTACGGTCGGCGGAAATAGTTACAGCTAGACCTCCCCCCAACTTCCCATAGCGCCCGTTCCACCAACTCCATTACCGCTTCCTACGCTTCCTGCCCAATCCCAGTAATGCCTAGAGCTTCCACTTTGTATAGCTTTATCAATATCACAAGCGCGACTTTCGTCTTGGCCTGATTTCAGTGTGTTATAGGCCTGATTTGGTCCACTACTCGCACCAAGTATGCTGCTCGAGATGCCGCTAACAACTGTACTAACAGGGACACTCACTTTCCAATTAATGTTTGCCGGGTTTGCATTCTCTCTTGATATTCCCCCGCAAACCAAAGGATGGTGCTCACGCACTCGGGCTGCACGTGTAACTGTGTCCGCTGTTCTGATAGATAAAATCGGCTCAGATGTAGTTACTAAAGATGACCTGGAGGTTGAGGGTGATAAGAATTTAGTTGTGACTCGATCACGCAGGTAGCGGAAAACTGCTTTCAAATCAAGATCACGCTCCCAATCTTCTCGTGCTAGATCATTTTTGTTTATAATATTAGTACGTGGGGCTTTGTTGGTTCGTGTAGAGGATTGAGAGGCCGTTGATTTGAATAAATTTGGTGAAGACTGGGAACGAGCTGGGATTGTAGGTTGAAACTCAGGATCCGGTGGCCGAGAGGTAACTGAAGATTCTTCATTGAAATTTTGATTAGACGGAGGGGTCACAGTCTTATTATCTGTGAGGAAAATAAAGCCAGCATATGGTAATGGCCGACTTTGAATCCTGGAATTTGTGTTTAACGCGGGAGGGTGCTCAGAAATTTGACCGGCTAAGATACCTAATTCGCGACCTATACGTTCCAAGAGCTTGTATTCCCATGAGGAGTCCTCGCGCTTGACACTGCCTTGGGGCTTCGAGATAGTTGGATCATCCCCATCGGGCGGAAGGGATTCACCAAAGATAATAGATAGAAGATCATCATTAATGCCAATCAAGTCACGTATGACTCTACGCTTGATTCTATTCCAAAAAGTTTCATTGTCGCTGCCAGGTGAGTCGAATTCCGTATTACTCGCCTTTGCCCTATTTTCTTGGGCAGAAACTTTGTTGGTAAACTGTGCCTCATCTGCCGTATTGGTATTCTTCTGACGTGACTCGCGTTTGATTTCATTAACAAGAACTCGACTGTGTTCCATCCTCCAGCTTTCGATACGCCTAAGTCTTTCATCTTCGTGCGATATTTGTCCATTTGAGAAAGATGTACTTCGCTCCATACCTTCACGCCGCCTCTTTGACCGCTGTGGGTTAAACTTCTCGAATGTGTACAGATGTTCTTGCACGTCATCTCCCATTGTTGTCCAATCCAGCCTAAAACTTCCCAATCCATCGTGAGTAGGCAATACGGTTCCTCCAGGCTCTGGCCTTAAACCATGGTAGGTGCTGGGTTCTGCCTTGAACTCATGCAAGTGACTATCAAGGCTATCTAACTCTTCATCATCTCCTGTTTGTTCTTCGCTATAATGGTCGTTATAATCATCGTGACTCTGAGCTTCGGTGACAAAGCTTCCTATATCACTAATCTGTGAGCGGGCGAACGTTAAAGTTCGCGCGGTAGATGTCGTATAATTGCGATCAGTTGTCGATGTAACAGAGGGATCAAAGAGAACCCATTCTTGGTCTTGAGAATCTGCAACTCTTCGCTGTTGGTCTGAGAGCGACTGAGGTACAAGCTGTGTGTGGGATTGGTCTAAGTTTGTACTTGATCTCTTTTGGAACGATTGCAGGTTTGGCTGGCGTAGAGCCATTAGAGCGATCTGAATGGGATAATTGAAGGAATCAGTGACTCTGAGAGCTTGTTAAAAAATTACTTCCTTGAACAGAAAATGAGGATACCATTTATTGATAAGGAGAGTAGCCAAGTCGGTACGGGGTCAAGTTCGGACGAGAAGAGCAGTATGGGGATAATCCTAGATGCCAGAAATTTCGGAAGAGATAGATCTACTACCATAGAAGCTTGTCGCACTTTTAGTGAGAAATCTCGGGGATTGGTGCCTTGACTGACTAGTTTTGACTACAGCTGTCTTTTGGCTCGTACCTTTGACCCTAAAAGTTCGTCAAGATCATCGTTGTCCCAACCGCTATATTTTACAATCCTGACGTGCTTTGCTAGAGTACTGAGCATGCTTTCCAGAAGAAAATAAGAATTGTTCAGCTGCATGGTAAGCGACAAGGCGTATGTGGGCTTTCTATCCCAAGCAAGTCAAAACCATGTCGACAGTGAATGGAAGGCTATCTGGTGCTAAACTACCGCTGTGTACCCTTCCATGACCTTTAATCGTGCTCAAAAGCAAAATACGGTAGGACTAATGTCTGATACTTTTTGCAAGCGATTCCCAGTCAGACAACAAACCTGGTAGTTTCACTCCCTGTAATTGAACAGACTAAGCTAAGAATATATTGCCGAGCCTATTCTAGCACTTAGTTACACCATATTTTTTGGTAGTCACAATACCCTTGGTGACCCTCCTTGAAATGAGGGGTTTTGCAGGCAAAGACTACATATTTTGAGTCGGTAAGTGGGGGTCACACAGAATAAAGTTTACTTCAAACTGTTGCTTGTATCAGAGTATCCTCCAACAGGAATAAACTACATTTTAAGGCATTGGCTTGGTATTTTCTACAATTCTAATAGTTCCGCTTATCCCTCAAATGCGGCTGGGAATCTTCGGACATTGTCGGCTAGTTTCCCGTGATTGCTCAAAAATTGAACATATGCCCCGTCAACCAATACTTTTCCAGACGCTTTCTTTTCCATGTACTCTTCACGACGGAGAGGTGTAAATCCCCAATTCTTGGATACGATAATCTTTTGGCGTCCAGGGAACTTGTACTGTGAGCGCCGAAGAGCCTCGAGAGCAGTTGCACGGTCTATTGTATGTTAGATAACTTTGGAATGTGTCTGGAATTTCTTACGGGAATCCCGAGTTCGGACACTGAGAATGATTTGTCCAATATTTACACGAGCAACAGTTCCATTAGGCTTTCCCCATGCTCCACGCATTCCGGTCTGTAATCTATCGGCACCAGCGCATGACAACATTTTGTTGATTCGAACGACATGGTAAGGATGTGCTCGCACTCGTAGATGGAAACCTTCTTTTCCTGCAATCTTGACCAAGTACCTAATCAAGCCAAGTTAGTCTGTACTTTGATGAGGTAAAAACCAATCAACTTTATGATGACTTGTTCAAATGAAAGCTTGTTATATTTGAGTCTTACTTGTTGGCGCAAATTCGAGCAGCTTCCAAAGCCTCAGAACTTAGTTGTTCATACTCGTTAGAGACTAGATGGATACACAGAGGAAACTCGTCGACATTGGCACGCTTGCGACCCAGGTCGAAAATTCGTATCTTTGGGTCAGGTACTATAATTATTGGTTAGTTCTTATTTTCGATGGTTTTTTTTAAGATAGTTCGATCCGTTCTAAATAATAAATTTCAACACATACCACCTCGGTTGAATCTTGACTTAGGGTATGGCTAATTTATTGTTAGCCATCAACAATTCATTTTTGTTGTAAAGGTTTGAAATCTAGTAGAGGATGTATGTAGTGAATGAATCGAAGTGTAGACAAATACAGTTCATGATGCCTTCATAACATTAGCTCTATGAAATGGGATAAATACCTTATTTTTGCAGTAACGATAACATCTTGCTGGACGGCGTGCCATTTTGGTGTCTAGTTGAATGTCTACCGACAAGGTGTACTGGAATCGCAGAGAGGTGGTGAGGCGTGGTGGTGAGCAACGGGATAGCCCTAGCCGATAACTATTAATGCTCTGGGAGTTGCTTTGAATTAGAAATATTTGCACTACTACTTGGTGTTAAATCTCGCTTATGAGTTTAAAGCCCTAGTCATGTTGCACACAGTTTGCTGCTGAGCAACGCTTTAAGCGACTACAATAAGTGACCGCCATTCGTATATCACTTGGAAATAATGGAAGATAGCTTAGATGATGATTTAAATTTAAATTTATTTACATTCCTAAACTATCATTTTATCGGGCCACAACTCCGCTTCATCAATTTGACACGATCCCTTGGCATTTCTGCCCATGAAACGACAATACCTTGGTGTCACTTTATGCGGTTTGACCTGACAGTATATCGGAGTCCCCACCATCAAGAATTGCCATCGTTGAGCAGCGGAATAGCTTTCCACAAGCGGTTCCTAACTCAATCTATAATAAGAGTAAGTATATATTTGAACCCTCCAAAGTCATAGACTTTTTCGCCGGGCTTTTATCATCTGTCAAAAGTTGGTGTAGGTTTGACCAGTGAATTGTTTTTCTGACAGAAGATATTTGAAAGAGAATCACTTTGACTCACGTTGTTACCAGCAAAGTGGTGCACATTAGTTTTGGAGAGCATAGAGTAGTATTCAAGCTCGGATTTACGAAGTGGAGGGGTGTTGCCCGCGATAATAACTAGCCTATCGATGACAGTCATCACTCCGAACGACATAATCTCAAGGTTTGAGGGTATTTACTTGGCCTTTCCAGAACGGAGAGTTTTTAAAGTTGATTTGTATCCAAGTGTGACTACTTTGCGTTAGGTGATGAGTACATGTTGTTGAGAGTATCCTTACCTTTTCCTGATTTCATGACAAGTGCCAGACGACTGTTAATGCTGTCGGCAGTCTTCTTTGCCTTTTTGGTAGGTGCCATCGTAGCTCGTCGATTAACAAGTGTTTTATTGTAATCTTTGGTGAGACGGCTCCGACGTTGCTGTTGTTGTTGAAGTTGTTGTTGCAGTTATAACGAATATGGAGAAAGGAGGTTGGAAAATCCAAATATATTTCTTGTGGGTTATTTGACGAAAAGTGTCTAGAATAGGAATAGCCATAAAATTTTGTGATGTTATTACTGCCTAATGCATAAGGTGTAATTTTTTTGTATTTACTGTGAGCGGATGCATATTTAAGTATAGTTAGCTCTAGTTATGCAGTCATATAATATAAGGACGGGGAGTTATGCAGGCATCCAAGGTGATCCGTGCGCACATACACCGAAGAAGGGCGGTCTTTCTAGCCAAACCTTGATAGAGAACCTTAGTGATTTAGTTGTAATACAAGATTGAGCCAATAACGATACATTTATGATATATTTACTCTGAATTTCAGTTGGCCCATAAATTCCATTATCATTATTTTATTTTATTGTCCTGTCTGAGCCTACGACTTTGTAGGACATTCAGGTCTCCTCTGCCTACAGGCCAAGGATACCTATGCCAGTTGTATATCCTCTTCTATGTCTCCGATACAACCCCCTCAAACAGTGCGACCCCTCATAACTGAGATCTACTAAACTCCTCTATTTATATGGCAGAAAATTACGGGGCTCAACCTGAATAATTTTCCGTGGTTTCTCCAACGAAACCAGGCCTAAATTATTCTTTTACAGCTCAGTTCTATCAAACTTCGCAATACCGAACAAGTAGACCCACAAGCCGATGATTCACTACTCCTAACCAAACCTCACTTTCACTGCCAATGAGACCGGTTTCGACCGAAGCATCATCAAATCTACAACTACGATCAAATAAGCCCTTAATCCAAAGACCACAACCCCTTCCAATCAGTCCCTAACTCTACTGGCCTCTGTATACATGCTAACAGCAATATAAATAGATCCGGAGGAGACAAATTGTGATTCTCAATTCTGGGAAGCAGAATTTTGGGATAAGTGTAAAAATGATCAGGAAAAGTGGATAGAATTAATGCCACTGGTAGATAATGCGTTAAAATGGGTAAGATTTGGGAAAATTTGCAAGTAGTCTTTTGCAGCTGAAGAGCATTGAGCACACCTCGCCTTCGGCTGCAATACTGAACTACAAATCTCGCAGTACAAGTTTACATGGATGACGAGGGCAAACTCGGATAATCAAGGGTTATGAAACTCCCTTAGGTGGGTACTTACGGAGGAGGGTCGACTTTTGGTGTAAGCAAGCATACCTCATAGTGGTATTTGCGAATGAAATCCAGAGTATGAGTGTCCCACTCGTAAAAAGAGCCGTCCATAATGTACACACGGTACTGATCATGTATCATAGCTAGACGGCTGAAAAAACATGAGCGATATTTAAAAACGCGACACAAAGCCTAGGCCACATCAAAAAAAATTGTGACGCCATATAAGCATAGAATACGCCCAATAAAACTCTTTGTGCCCATGCATTACAGCCGTTCACGTATCCCTATGTAGCTTAAATGTTTCCATACTACACATTCCAACCCCTCTACCACGTACAAGATAGTGTCGTGAACCTAGACGAAATAGAGGGCCTGTAATTCTAAAACAATCTGTCTTCATTTCCAATACATAGTTAAATATTTGCCCCCCCCAACGATTGGTATAAGAGCAAGAATGGGAGAGTATTAAGTGAAAAATTTCGCGTCTGGAAGGGTCTACAACGGAGAATGTTTTGTACTACTTGTTGCTTTTATCTATTAAGTTATTTTTCTAAATACTTCTTGCGATATGAGGTCACCCAGCGCATCTAGACTGATCCTTCTACTATTGTTTAAACTGTGCATGTTCTGTAGAATCGCCTCGCACTGCATGATGTGCCGAAGATATTTTTGTGCTAGATAAAATTTCATATAGCGCACAGCACCTAAATTATAATCCCAGGTCCCTGTAGATTCCTAGCACACCCTTTACACCAAATAGAGTGTGGCCATTGATGCCTGTGCAATGGTGCAAAATGGCTTTTCTATGAGGTACCGTTGCGTATCGATTATGCTGACATTCATTATTTTTTATTTGCTATTCTTAGATCACGGCACTTTGGGCGTGATATAAAATAGTTACGAGTGTAGTGTGGTCGGAAGTTTAGATGGTTGAATGATTGTAGGCACAAAACGACTACTCTCGTGAGAATAGACCTTACAATCTGTTGGATAATAGATTATAACACCTCATACAATCGCCCGAGCTTTCCGTCGCGAGCCCTTAACCTAGCGTGGACATGGTCGGCTGTCTGGGCAGTCGGAATCAGAACAATTAGACAATTGAGCACAATCCAGTATTAGTCTACCACTTACTAACAGATATTGTAGAGATGCTGGCAGCAATAGATTAGATATTGATACCACTAAAAGAAGAAGACTTTTTAATCATACTAGGGCGTTAAATTCTTGGTACGTTAGAAATGGGCGTAGCCAAAAAACGACCAGGAATTTGACTGATAAATACTCAGAGTGTAACAGTTGAAACGATGCTACATCTGTCCGGTAAACCCCAAAGAGTCCGCAAGTTAGTGTGCAAATTCAAGTCGGGTCCACTAGATATTGAACAGCTGATTCGGCAGGACGCCAGTCTGCGTCGGCCAATTCTGAATCTGAGTTTATCATCGTTTACCTTCAGTTTCATCCGGCACGAGTGGCACAACTTTTGTGCAATATTGGAGCGAACGTGCAAGGTACTGTTTTGGAGGAGATTCATGCTGGCCCCACCGGTCCTTCACCTAATGAGACTTAGGCCTTTTTTTGGGATTGGAATCAAAACAATTAATACCGAGAAAGCGGGGTAATATTCGACGGAAATTAGGAATACATGATTACCTATGTATCTTGGCCACGCGATCTACTTTTCTCTGTTTGTTTCCTATTCTTTATAGTCAGACTTTGACCTTTAACATTATCACGTCCACTGATAAACCACCTGGAATAATAAAGACTAATCCAAAGTCTTGTCTGTACCGAACAAAGGTGCACGCAGGTGCTATTCAGCAAGGTGGGTGTGAGATTCCCTTACAGACAATGTCCAGATTTGCTGTCTGCTTAAATGCCCAAGTGTTCGAATCAGACAACTAGTGCCAAAAATGGTTGCGCCATATGGTTGCATGTAACTGTAACTCAATTATTTACTGCTGCTTTTCGGGTATTTAACAATATAGGGGCGAGAAAGTTGAACCTTCCATTGAAGCTACCCATCTTAATTTCTCTTGCTTTACAATCGAGGAGACCCAATGTATTTATAGGATTAAAAACTTATCAATAGTAAACAAAGATGAGATAATCCGCATTCAACTCGTCAGCTGCTCTATTTAGAGACGTGATCAACGCGCTGAACTGATACTTTACCAATCTCTTTCTATTAAGGCAAACGTCAAGTGATTACCTTGATAATTTCACTGCTTCTTCAAGACAAAAATCCAGCATGAAACTGCATCTAGTCCAAAGAAATGATTGACGATAACCATACCAAGCGTGCATTGCTAATCATTTTATAGAAGCCCATACCTAGCCAAGATTGATTTTCGAAATAAAGAGCTAGCGAATATAACTCTCTCTAAGATGTCAGATCAGACCAAAAAGTCAAATTTTCGGAAAATCCAACAGTTCTCAACCGATTATTCGCCTGCTAATATATCCCAATATGTTTCTGAGAGGACTGGAATGAATATTGTCGTAGTCGATAAAAAAGGACCTGAGATTAGTGGCTACTTTGCACTAGCTACAGAAATATTGGATGATTCTGGCTCCCCTCATACCTTGGAACATTTAATTTTTATGGGATCAAAGAACCATCCATACAAGGGCTTACTCGATCGACTTTCAACAAGAGCCTATTCAAACACTAATGCATGGACCGATACAGATCACACTGCATACACCATAAATACTGCCGGATGGGAAGGATTGTCCAGAATACTCCCCATCTATCTTGAGCATATAGTTTTACCAACATTAACAGATGAAGCCTGCTACACTGAAGTGCACCATGTAGATGGCGAGGGAAATGATGCCGGTGTAGTATATTCTGAAATGCAAGCTATTCAAAATACCAGTGACGAAATTTTAAATCTACACGCCAGACGGTTACTGTATCCTGAAAATGTCGGCTTCCATTATGAGACAGGAGGCCTGATGCAAAATCTTAGAGTCTTAACTCCCGAGAGAATACGTTCGTTTCATCGAGAGATGTACCAGCCGAAAAATCTGTGCCTCATTCTAATAGGAGAGGTCGATATAGATAATCTCCTTAAAATCCTAGATAAGTTTGAAGATGGAATATTAACAGAAATCCCTTCACCAGACACAAAATTTCATCGGTAAGCAAATAATCTAGGCTGGAACTTATCCTGACACACTTAGACCTTGGGTTGAATCGATCCAACCACCACCCATAGCAAAAACTGTTGTTGAGAAAGTATATTTTCCAGAAGAAGATGAATCAACTGGGGAAATATTAATTGCCATGTTCGGTCCCAATTGTAATGATCCAGTAGATATGGCTGCATTAGGAGTTATTTTATTTTACCTAGCTGGCTCTTCTTTGTCTATTTTAGAGAGCACCATGTTAGATAAAGAAGCTCTTGCTAGCTCCATATCTTATGACTTCGACCCTAGACCTAACAGTGTAATCTGGCTTCAGATTTCAGGGGTCTCGACTGATAAGCTAGAGTTTGTCGAGAGGAGACTATTTGATCTCCTTAGTCAGGTTTCTTCTGAACCATTAGATATGTCGTACTTGATTGACTGTATTCACCGACAGAAACGACATACAAAACTAAAGGCGGAAAGTTCAGTAAGCTTTTTCGCAACTAGAATCATCTCCGACTTTCTGTACGGAAAACGAGATGGATCAACCTTAAAAAACCTAAGTTCAATCAAGGAATACGAAATTCTTGAACAATGGTCTGATGAGGGTTGGCGTGATTTTTTGTCAAAATGGATATCAAATGCGGCTCATATTTCCCTTCTCGGGACACCTTCTATCAAGATGGCAGACGAGCTTGAGGCAGACGAAGATGATAGAATAACTGCTAGAACAAAATCTCTTGGCCGCAAAGGTCTTAAAAAACTGGCTAATGACCTAGAGGCGGCAATAGCGAAGAATGATGAGGAGATACCATCTACAATTATGGAACAATTTCCAATTGCTGGAGTCGAATCTATTCACTTTTTTCAAAACACAACTGCAAGGTCTGGATGGGCTAAAAAGCTTGGCGTTTATTCAAATGAAATTCAAGAAGTAGTTAATTCGCAGTCGAATCTTCCATTGTTCATACAGTTTGAGCATTTACCCACAAACTTCGTCCACATCACTCTTCTCTTGGAGACTTCAGCAGTAGCAACAAATAACTGTCCATTACTATCGCTATTCCTTGACATATTCTTCGAGACACCAGTCATCAAGAATGGCGAAAAGATTGAGTTTAAGGAAGTTGTGACAAAGCTGCATCAGGACACTGTTAGCTACTCGATTAATGGAGCAGAAAGTCTCAGTCACAGTGAAGGGCTGGCTATTCAAATTCAGACTGAGCCCGAAAAGTATAGCACAGCAATTGAATGGATTCACACCATGATGTTTGAAAGCATTTTTGAAGAACCAAGGATAAGTGCAAGGCTCGATAGGATCTTGGCTAGCATTCCAGAGCTAAAGAGAGATGGTGATAATATGGCTAATGCCATCGACGCAGTGATTCATTTCGATAATAAGTCTATCGTGAAGGCTAGAAGCACCCTTGTTAGCGCAACCTTCTTGGAAAAAACCAAGGAACTCCTAGCTACTGATCCAAAAGCTGTGATTTCTTCCCTTGAGGCTCTTCGTAACGCCTTATTTACATTCAAGAACATGCGGGTCTTGGTCATTGCCAATATGACACAATTAAAAAATCCAGTAGATGCCTGGAAACCTTTGGTAGAAAAGCTAGATAAAAGTGAAGAGCTAGTTACTATCGTAAAGCCTTTTCAACGTTTTAGTCCTGATGGACAATTTCCAGGCGGTCGGGGATTGGTCATTGTACCTATGCCAACAATTGACTCATCTTTTTGTCTTGCTACAGCCAAAGGGCCACGACTTTTAACAGACCCTATTATACCCGCCCTCACAGTGACAATTTCATTCCTTGAGGCGGTAGAAGGTCCCCTGTGGACATCTATACGTGGCAAGGGTCTTGCATATGGAACATCTATATTGTTTGATAATAACGGCCTTCTACAATTCAGTGTCTATCGTTCTCCAGATGCGTTTCACGCATTCTCTGCCGCCAAGGATGTCATCAATTCATTTATTACAGGAACTACTAAAATTGAGTCGCATGCTTTCGAAGGAGCTGTAAGTAGTATTGTTTCCGACTTAGCGGAGAAACGTGCAACAATGATTGAAGCCGCCAAATCTCACTTCATAAATGGAGTTATTAACGGAGTGGAAGAAGGTTACGATTTCAATTTGCTACAAAAAGTGCGTAGTATAACGCCAGAACAGATGAAAGCTGTTATGGAAGACTATCTCCTTCCCCTTTTCCAGCCGGGAAAGGCTAATGTTGTTGTGACATGCGCTCCGCTCCTTAAAAAGGTGAAATAAGCTAATGAAGAATATCTGCCATGATAAGCTAACTTTTTCCAGGGAATAATAAAAGGTTTCAAGGAAAGCGGCTTTAAAGTTCAGACCCATGAGCTTTCGAGCTTCACCGAGAGCTATGACTCGGTAGATGGTAGGAGAAACAGATGAAAGCCATTGCGGCCGAGTAATGGTGATTTCTATAGTCCTATAGAGATGTAGAAAATGGCTCTTGGCTATTCCATCAAAAAAATTTATTGGAGCATTTTAATTTAAACGAGAAAAAATATGTAATTAAATTGATGAACACTTTGGCTTATGTCTTAAAGCGTGAAATGGTAAAAATTAATTACAAGTCTGTCATAATTATATTCTAGACACGGCCATTTGGTGCCAAGTCATCCTTAATCTCTCCAAAAGCCCAATAGTCACTTTAAAATTTAACATTTGACAGAGTTGAATCTTCCTCACCACTGGAAGGATAGTCCTTCTAATTGTGCCCAGTCAACCTTGTAATGCACTCGAAATGCATGCTGTAACCCTTACACGAGGATTTTCGTAGTCATAGACCCAAGTAGTACAATAAACACAAACACAGACACACAATTTTTTGAAATTCGAATTTTCGAATATCCCCCTTTACCCCCTCTCTCTCCCTCTCGCGCTCGTCGCATCCCTTCAATAAATTGTAATCGAGTCACTGGCATTTTCGTCATGCCACCTGTTCGAAAAAAGCTCCCCAACTCAATGTTGGACAACGCGAGAGTCCGCCCGAGGGCTCCTGCAAAAACACCTGGCCTCGCGCAAAAATTATCAAGCCTATTTGCGAGTGAGGCCTTTGTCCCAGGGAAGTCCACAAATCTTCCCGATCAAGAGATGACTGATTCTGAACCGATCAGAGCAGAAAACAATGGTCCCAAGACCAAAACCCCCGTCGAACTGCCCCCTTTGGCAAGCAGCTCCAGGAAAGGAAAGGAAGTTGTTCGAGAAAAGACAACCGAACGTGCAGAATCATCTGCAGGAAACAATGCTGTGCCAGCCTCTAAAGGCGCAGCATCGACATCAGCAATGGAGTTTCCACCAGAGCTGCAATCAGTGATGGAGGCCGAAAAGCGTCGCACGACGCAAATAAACGCCCGACTCGCAATCTGCTCGACTGCAATCAGCGGTGTCGAAGCAGCACTTTCGCCTCTTTCGATTGGCGATAATAAAGTATTTGTAGACGGAATCAAAGTCTATCTTCGAGCAGCCATCGGCCAGTTCGTACAATCTGGCCCAGGGAGCACACCACCAGCTCTCCCTGCTCGCCCCGCCAACCCTCTTCCGCCGAGGGCACCAGAAATAAGGGTTCCTAACCCTCCAACAATCCAGGCTCCGGCCCCAAAGACAACTTGGGCCACCGTAGCTCGGGCAGGCCTAGCCCGCAGCGCTGGGCCGTTGACAAAAAAGGCAGCACTACCCGCCCCCAAGGCAAAGAGTGCCAACTCGAGGATAAAAGCCGATTCACGACTTTTTCTGCGCCTTGACTACTTCCACCCCCACCGTCTCCTCTCCCCAGCTGGAGTAAGGCTAGCGGTGTCTCAGGTGCTGGGAACCGCTGCCAACAATATCACGTTGGCTCAGCGGGTAAAGACCGGCTTTGCAATAACCGCAAAGGATGAACTCGCTCGAACAGAGCTCCTAGATTCCTCCACATCACGGAGCGAATCTGGAATCAAACTGGAACCAGCATCAAATCTGGTTGCCATGCAAATTGCCACCGTCCCGGAGACAATTCGAACTCTTGCTGGCCCAATCGCCGTGACGGCAAAGATGGTTGCCGACGAAGTCACGCGAGTGACCCAGTTGGTTCCCTTTCTGGTTCGTCCTCATGGGACTAGCAAACCAGGGGTGCCCTACTCAAATTGGCAAGCGCTATTTCCTCGAGAATCCGCTCCTCGACCTGGATTCCGCCTTTTCGACGACTCTGGAGCTGCAAAGCTCTTCCGACCTCGTCGCAAAATCGAACAATGCAAACGGTGTCTTGAATTTCACACCACCCGTGGTTGTTCCTGCGCTCCAGCTTGCTGGAATTGCGGATCTAATATGCACTCAGAATCAGAGTGCAAGGCCCTCACCCGGTGTCGAAACTGTGGGGGACCTCACCGATCGGATTCCCGGGCCTGCTTAGCCAGACCCAGCAAGTCCGGACCGGTGACAAAAGAGCAGCTCGCGCGGATCCGCCAGATCCAGCAAGGGGAGTTCGCGAAAGTGGCTCGATTTAGGGCTGCAGCCAAAAGGGCCGAAGAGGCAACGATGGCCTCAACGAAGGATGTCTCGATGGCCGAGGGATCGGGTTTCGGAATCCTGGAATCCGAAGAAGAAGTTTGAGGGTACAGCAACCCTCGGTGAAGTCTACAAAAAGCTTCAAAGTATATGGCAGGATACCAGCTGAATTCAGGGTATCTGCGAACTAGTCTTTCGCTCTCAGCGGAGATAAGAAAAAGTCACGTGGAAGATGTGGCAGGAAAGGGAACGGGCGAGAAGCGCGGGATCCGGACCAAACATTATTTCTTCCAAATTTGATTTCAGTATTTGATTTATGTTTTTGATTTTAGTTTTGCTGTTAACTTCTACAATTTCAGTAGAAGTTCATGCGGTTGGAATGAGTTGGGCCTGTACGCAGTGATCCTTGCCGGCTCCACCGGTCCTTGACCCAATGTGGAAAAGATAGCGTTAGCTTAGGACCAAATGTAAAAACAAACAAACAAACAGTTTTTTGAAATTCGAATTTTCGAATATTCACCCTTTCCCCCTCTCCCTCCCTCTCTCAATATCGTGATATCGTACGCCCTTAATTCAAAATTTGTGAGCGACTGGCAGGCTACCAATATGCCCCCAGCTCGCAGTAAGCCATCGCGGGCGAAAGACATCGTAGATAACCGCAAGCACCTCAAACACGTTGCTCGACAGAAAGCAAGCGTCAAGTTGGGTCCACTGACTGCCGATCAAGAGATGAACATCGACCAATTAATCGACGAAAGTACCATAGATTGCGATATCATAGATGTTGGAAACTTTGACATTGACAAGATTCTTAAGAATCTGAAAAGACTACCCAACTCAATTCACTCCAAGCCAGATGCGACCGGAGCTGAAAATGCAGCGACGAGTCGCAACAATTTAGGGACAGCGACTACCGGACAGCATATACTTCCTCTCATTGAAGTCGCTGTGCCGGCTATGAGGCGGGCTGCGATTGCAGATGCTAACAAGGCAAAAGGTGCAGCATCTACCCCGAACCCCCTGGAACATACACCAGGAACCACAGAAGAGAATCCTTCTCATCACGGTGGAAATGAAGGCAGGCAGATGGAGGAATGCCCCCCCGAACTTAGAGCCTTAATGGAGGCTGAGGAACGCCGGGCCGCAAAAACTGCGGAAAATGTAAAAATTTGCACCGCTGCAATAAACGGTGTCGAGAATGCTCTGTCCCCCCTATCCAAAGGGTCGAGTGTTCAATTTATAGACTCTATGAAAGTCTACATTAGAGCTGCAATAGCTCAATTTATGATCGCGGGACCAGGTACAGTCCTCCCATCACTCCCCCCACGCCCCGAAAGCCAAGCTACTAGTTGCAAGACCGCAGAATATGCTGCTGGTAAGCAAAGTGAGCCACATCGCGAAGCGGCTCAAGCCGAAGTGCGCCAGGCCAAAATCACTTGGGCCTCGATCACCCGTAATGGTCTACAAACGCTCCCGGCACCTACAAAAGTCGCGCAGACAATGCCCAAGGCGGCAAACTCAACTCGAATGGCCCAAAATTCAACCGGGCCAACAAAACCGGCCGTGCAAGACGAAAGTTTGTTTCTCCGCCTCGAAAAAGAACATCCCTGGCGAACACTCTCACCTTTCGGTGTTAGAGAAGCAATTACGCAAATGCTCGAAATCCCCCAAACAAAAATTGAGCATGTCTACCGTGTGCCAACTGGCTTCGCAATCAGAGCCGAAAACCAAGAGGCACGCGCGCTGATGCTTAGCCTAGCTGGATCCTTCGCCCAGCAGGATGCGATATTGGAGAAAGCCTCGGACTTGGCTTCCCTTAGAATAGCGACGGTCCCAGTCGCAATTAATATAATAATGGGCAAAGTTCTCATCACAGAAAAGATGGTGGCCGACGAGATAGTCAGGGTCACCAAAGCTGTCCCGGTAAAAGTTCGCCCACACGGAAAAAGCCGACCGGGCGCCCCATACCAGTCATGGGTGGCCCTTTTTGAAAAAGCATCGATTCTCCGGCCAGGTTTCCGACTTTTCGACGACTCTGGGATTGCGGTCCGCCACCAGCCTCGTCAAAGTATCAACCAGTGCAAACGATGCCTACAGTTTCATGGCACCAGGGGCTGCTCGCGTGCCCTAGCTTGCTGGAATTGTACTTCAACTATGCATTCCATCGCGGAGTGCAAGGCACACACCAAGTGCCGCAACTGTGGAGGTCCACACAGGTCAGATAGTCGGGACTGTCTAGCTCGTCCAACAAAGTCTGGAATGGCCTCCAGGGAAAACCTTCAGACCATAAGGCAGGCTAGCCAACGCGAATTCGCAGCAGCCACAGAAGCGTGAAATACTAACCAGCCAGGTTTTAAATCGAGCAACTGTTTTGAAGTTCTCATGTCCGACGCTACAGCGACTATAGCCGAGGTCGATGAGGCATCAAATCAGCAAAAATCTTTGTGAAGGGCACCCTACGGGTCTCTTCGAGCCTCTCTCCTACTCTAAGCTTTATGTCAATAAACGTAGGTAGAGGGGGCTCAACGCAAAATATTGCGCTTGCTCGAGCATTTGAGCTGGGTATCGACGTGGTTTTTGTTCAAGAACCTCTGTGGAACAAACAAAAGAATGCAACAAAGGATCACCCAGGATATACCTATCATCTGCCTAACAGCGGCGAAAATGTTAGGCCGAGGGCTGTGACCAATACTCGGATAGACGATAAAAAGATATCGGTCACACAGATCTTTCCTTATGTTGTGTCTACAGGAGACTACTGCTGGGTTGAAGTGAACAGTATCACTTTTCTCAACATCTACAAGGCACCCAATGACTTGACAGTTATCCAGCCACTCATCAACTAGATTCCACCGCCAAACTCCGTCGCTGCTGGGGACTTTAACTCGGTGTATTGGGCTTGGTAA